CTTCCTATATAGCTTCCTATCTAGTTACCTATCTAACTATTGATCTAGCTTCCTATATAGCTTCCTGCCTAGTTACCTATCTAACTATTGATCTAGCTTCCTATATAGCTTCCTGCCTAGTTACCTATATAACCACTCACCTAACTTCCTACCTAGCTATCCATCTAGCTAACAACCTAGCTTCCTGTGTTTTCATCACCTGTTAGCAGCCAGCGCTTCCAGCTGGCAGTGTAGGATTTCTCCATTCTTTGCTTTCATCAGAGCTTCCAGGTTTTCCTCCAGAACCTTTTTCCGTCTCCGGGCCTGACGGAGAACCTGACCCGCCTCCTCCAGCACAGAGTGGCTCCTGGGCTTCCTCTGGACCAGTCCAGGATGGGAGCGCTGGTTAGACAGACCCCTGGACTCCTGGGTGAAGCTAGGATGAGTCAGCGATGGTCCAGCCTGAGACGGTGTTGGAACGGGCTGCAGATCCCGGGAGCTGGGCGGATTAAGCTGGGACTGCAGCTGCTGACCCACATGTTGCTTATTATGCTGGACGTGAGAAGTGTTTTGGGAATCATGTTGTTGAAGATCGTTTGGACGGCTCTGGCTTTGCTCAGCACTGGACAGGTAGAACCAGGCCTGCTTGGGCTTGGATTTGCTCTGTTGGGGCTCAAGATGTTTATTTGGAATCTCACTCTGGTCTGGAGCAGGAAAGCTGAATTGTGGAGTCTGTTCTTGCTGCTGGATGGAAGACAGATTGTCATAAACACCACAACTCCTTCTCTTTACCCGAACACCTTATAATTATCAAAGATTTTGTTCCTTCTGAGCATAGTTAACTGATTATTTTACATCAACTGACGCCTCAACACTGCAAGTAGAGTATTACCGATTACTCACAGTCAGCAGCATCTTTATCTCCGTCTTCAGACTCTCCATCTGCTTTAGCATATCACTTGCTCTCCTTACCGCTTCCTGAGTGTCATTTGCCAAAGACTGAAGGTGAAGGCTTTCAGCCAGAGGGGTCTGCACACACAGGTTGTCCCTGAAGAAAAGAAACGACCCACAAAATAAATAAAGGAAAAGAAACAGCTCCACGATGGATACAGAACATTTAGGCAAACCATTCAGCCAAACAGCTTTTGTTGTCTTAAAGGCATTAAATAACCAAAACAACCACTGAGCTTTTTAATTAGTGAATGGAAAAGGTGCCTCAAAAGCATCTATCAGAAAGTTAATGGAAATGTTCATTGGAACCAAGTTCATCCACTAAAATAAATAGAAAAAAAATGCATAGTTTATATTCATTTAGCATAGAAGCACCCTTATCTTAAACGTTAAAAAGCACCAATCTGACCGAGGCCATAAAGATACGAGACCAAAACCTGGAGCAAACATGTCAAGATTGAACTTAGGACCTCCATCCCCAATAAGTACAACAGGAGGCTGCAATGCTTCAACAGCCACAGATTCAATCTGTATACAGAGAATAAACATCACGGAAATAATCTTTACAACAAATTCTCTCCAGATGCTAACAGCCACCCAGAATAATCAGCAGTGCATATTAGATCATAAATGACAGCAGATAATAACTGAAGCTGTTTGAGGAAAAGCCTTTTCTTTTTTTGGTCATCATAACTTCCAGGAGTTTCCTGAGTGCAGAAACGTAGAGCATGGATTGAATTGAGCTTCGACACAAACCGCCTTTAAATGTTGAGGGTTTGGGATTATTTCTACCCTTATTGATCTTCAGTTTATTCCTGTAGATTTTTTCAGATAGATTCAAGTCTAGTAATGAACTCAGCCATTCTAGCAGCTTAAGTTTTATTGAAACTAAACTAAGCCAATGAAACAACCAGATGTTGGAATAAAGCCCACACAACGATGGTTCCTCCTGTTGGGATGGTTTCTCTGCGTGATTCAACTTCCTCCTCTAAGCCCCACGTTTAAAGTTAACCACAATTTCACTGGTTTGTCAGTGAAGGCAGCAACCTTTCAACAAGCTCTTTTCCTTCAGCAGTGGAGTCTTGTGCAGCGAGTTTCCACACAGGCCACAGTACTTTAATGTGTAGAAGCTGTATTTGCCATCTCCATCCTCTCCATTCTTCTCTACAGCAGATTTATTGTCCTGTCTGAGGGCAGCAGGTTCTGGATGATTTACAGGGAAATTATGTTTCCACTCAAATGTCAACCAAAGCTAATGCTGACTTGTACATTACTAATTTAACTTGTTATTGGACAGAAGGGTGGACTTAATTATTCAATTCAGTTTATTTCTATATGTCATCTCAAGGCACTTTACAGTTCACCAGATCATCCAGTCAAATTGATTTAGCTTCCTATCTAAAGAAAACCAGTTGATTGCATCGACTCATTGACTCGAACACTAGTGTTACTCCTCTAGAGATAATCAAGGCTCAACGTCCTTCTTTTGGTTTTAACAGCCATTTATTGTGGACGCGTCTTATAAAGCCCCAAAAAATGCCGTCAGAACTAAGAAGGGAAACAGAAACCCAGATTAGCTCAAAACAAATAGAAAGGTTTACACAAACAAATCCAAGTAAAAAAAAGTCGTACCTCATTGGCCGCATAAACTCCAGAGGAATAAAGATGACTTATTTAGCTTTTCTCACAAAAACAGTCTTAAAGCTTTCCTGTGAAACTTCTTGAAAAAACAGGTGCAAAAAAGAATTGTGTCAATCAATCTTTCCCATGGGCAACAACGTGACATGCGGAACAAAAAACATAGGTTCCTCCTTACATTTTAATGCGCCTTTTAAACAATGTACATAAACAACATAAATTCACTGAAAGTTATTTATTTATGATTGAACTTTTAATTTCAATACTAGTATGTATTAACTCTTGTTTTTAACTAAATATTAAAATATTTAAATGAGTTGACTCTGATGGCAGCTAGAACTAGATAAGTCTTTTTCTTTTTAAATAAGTGCATTTGTTCTCAGATTGAGGAGGTAAAAGAGACATTTTGTAAATGGATCAAGACAATTTACACTTAAAATAAGAAAAAAACAATTGCAGTGTCTCATTTCAAGTGCTTGTTATGTGATTATCTTATTTTAAGAGTAAAAACTGGTAAACTGTCTCATTTACCTACTCAAATTAGGGCTAAAAACACTTAATTTAAGACATTTTTTACTTGTTTCCAGATCTTTTTTGCAGCGTAATAGCAGGGTTGGGGGGGTGGGGGTGCTGAGCAACACAGGGTTGGACAACAGGGTCAACAGATGAAACCCTGTCAAAAGTCTTTGGAGTCACTTTACAGCCCTGTGCAATGATAGCGTTATTCGGGGTACCAAAAAATGAAGCAAATTTAACTAAGAACCAACAGAACATTATAGCATTTGTTTCTCTGCTTGCACGAAGACTAATTCTACTCCACTGGAAGTCAAGTGCGCCACCTACTGTTGCTCAGTGGTTGAAGGATGTTATGTTATTTTTGCACTTGGAAAAAAATCAAATTTGCTATAAGGCGCTCAGACAAATTTCAATCTGTTTGGGAAAGCTTTCTCTCATACTTTAGAGGCCTCCAAGAACTTCCTCCAACATTGCATTACATTAAAAGATTCTACGCTTTCAATTAAAAAGCTGAGCATACACAAAGGCATACTTTGATGGCCAAGAGGACCTTGGAATGCAGATCGAGCTATTCACTCTCTGTTTTAATTTGTTTATTCTGATGCCTGTCCACACTTAAAAAACAAAAACTGAAGTCTACTGTCAGTTCAGTGTTTTTTGGTTTGTTTTTTTGATTCATTACAATCAGTCTGGGTGGGGGGAGGGTGTGTTTTTTATTTTTCTGAATGTGTATAAAGTTTGAAAAAAGGAAAGTCTTTTGTAACCATGAAGACGACCCATTGTTTCTACCTCTGACTTTTCAATAAAAAAAAAAAATAAAAAAAAAGAGATGAAACCTTCAACATCTGCTGTGCAGGAAGGTGAACAACCCACTCTGTGCTTCCCTGAGTAAGATGAGTGGGGACAAAATGGCTGCCGCTCCGACCTCTTACTCCATCACAAAGCTGCCCAAAACCATCACAAAGGGATGCTAAAGACAGTCCACTACAGCTGTTGCTAAGCAACACAACTGGTGGAGGACAGTGGCAGTGTTCATTTCCCTCTCCTGGTGATGACGTCTCCCAGTCGCCCCGGCGTCTGGTTTACAATTAATCTGATGGGAAAAGCTTCTGCTTCACCATAAGCTGTTTTATCAACATGATTCTGCAGACATCAAAAGGATGAAGATATGTAGCATCCTCTCCTGACATGGGTCAAAAACATCCATCTATCCATCCATCCATCCATCCATGGCCTCAAACACCACAGTAACAAAGAAAATAAACACTAAAGAAAACATTAGAATAAGTTCTCCTCTAGTGGTTTAGTGAAACAGAATAAAACAAAGATCTCAGAGATATTTTTCCCATTTTCTGATACTTCAGAAGACGTTTTGGTTTAAAGCTGAAGCTTATGTCTAATCTCACAGCAAAGCCTTCATTTAACCCAGATTAGGTGATTTTTGCTGAATTAAAACATGTTTATGAATAGTTGATGGCTGGGTTTCCCATCCATCTGATATCAGTCTGAGGCTTTTTTCTGCAGAGGATGACTCAGCAGTTAGAAACAGAGCAGGGCAGCATGGATCTGTCTGTCTCAGTCACGCTATGTTTGGATTCAGAAAACCATCTTAATCCTCTGATTTCACAGACTTTCTATCCTAAAATCTCTACATTTAATTCTGCTGTTTTTATAACATTTGGAGTAAAAACTTTCATCTTAAACTGGTCTCATCTCAAAAACAGCAGCGGAGGAAGTGACCTCCAGTTTCTGGAGCGTGGTGCAGATCTATTTTTCTTTTGGGGGAGTGCTAGCCTAGTGGTTAGAGCAGAGCGCAGGTGCTCTGAGAAGGTTGCAAGTACCCGATTCCATCGCCACAGCCTGCCACTCGTTCTCTGAGAAAAACGCTTGAGAAGACGCATTGTAAACCAGCGCTATATGAGTAAACAGAAATATCAAGAAACAAAATGAGGCGTCTAATTTAGTTCAGGCTTACATGTTTATAAACTCACTTCACAGAGACACAAGAAAAGACAAAAAGCCATTCATAATAATGTTGGTAGGGTGGAAGGCAATGCCTGGCTAATGAGCATCCCTTATTTCATTTTCACAGAGATGGCAGCCATAACGCATTTTCTCCTAAAAATTACTAAACATGAAAGGAAAGACAATTTCAGAAGGTTTGAATAACAAATTGATATTATTACCTGAATAATATCACGTGTGAAGCCCTGTGTGATGTGAATATTAGAAGAAAAAAACATGTTTTATCGAGATGAAAGCCTGATAATTGTGAAGTGAGGTGATGAGCTCAACCAAACTGCAGCATCAGTCTGAGCCAATCTTATAATATCAATATCAGAAAATACAGTTTTAAACTCCAAATGTTTCGACTTTAATCTTTGAATGTTGAGATTTTAGTCACATAGATTTAATATGATTTCCTTCTCTTAACTAAAGAGTGAAGTTACCTCAGTATGGCTCTGATACTCACCTAATGGTTTCCTACATGGGGGGTGTTCATGCATACTGGCGGGGCGACACATCCACAGGACAAAAGGTCAAATTTCAGGAACGCCTTGTTTGTCTGTTGCAAACATTCCCCCCCTCACATTGTGGTTGGGGGAATGTGAGTGGGGGAGGGGACAGTGTTGAGCCTCTAGGTGAAGGAATGTGGGGTACCAAAGGGGGGGGGGGGGGGGATGTAGAGGAGGAGGAGGATGCTCGGTAAATGGAGCAGGCACATTGTAAACAGACGAATCAGCTGACTGAGACGCTTTAGTGGAACCAGTGACGCCTTTAGCTCCTCTCTGCTTTAACGGGAAAGAAATCAGCTCAGTCCAAAATATACGCCAAAGTTTCTATGTCTGCCTTTTTCCGCAGCAAATTCCTGAATAAATTACATTTGCAGTCTGGAAGAGGTAACCATGGCAACCACATCTTCCTACACAGCAACAGAGGAGG